CATCCATCCATCCATCCATCCATCCATCCATCCATCCATCCATCCATCCATCCATCTATCTATCTATGCTGGTCTTGTTGTATTCGGGTCTTTTCCCATGTAAGATTGAGATTGTTTTGGCAATGTTTTGGTGAGGTCTCACTCATCATCTTCAGACTGGGTTTTGGGCTTAAAGTGTGGTCGGAGCTGCCGTATTTCTATAAATTTTGGTGTGTGTGTGTGTGTGTGGAGTGCTGGCTTTGTTTCAGTAAGTGGAATGATTGGTTGTGTGGTTGTATCATGATTGGTTGATTGATGATGATTGGTGCTGGCTGTGTGTCTGTTATTGTTTCGTGTTGTAATGGCCTGGGTGGTGGGTGGGGCTCATTTGTTGACTAGGGCTGGCTTCCAGATGTCTGATAGGCGGGAGATATCATCACGTTTATTCATGTTGTGGGGGTGTTTCTCTATTTTGATAGCTTCAATAAATAGCTTCCATAAATAATAACATATTAGAATGAGTTTTCAATTTAGGATGCATTAGATTTGAAAGGTAAAGATAAATGTAAAGGTTCTCCTCACACATATGTGCTAGTCATTCCTGACTCTAGGGGGCAGTGCTCATCTCCAAAGCCTAAGAGTCAGCATTGTCCAAAGATTCTCCGTGGTGATGTGGTTGACATGACTAAATGCTGAAGGCACACAGAATGCTATTACTTTCCCACCAAAGGTGGTCCCTATTTTTCTACTTGCATTTTTTCATGCTTTCGAACTTCTAGGTTGGCAGAAGCTGGGACAAGTAATAGGAGCTCACTCCATTAGGCGGCACTAGGGATTCAAACTCCTGACCTTTCTGATCGACAAGCTCAGCATTTTAGCCACTGAGCCACTGCGAAAATTTGAAAGTATCACACTAAATTCAGAATTAAAATTTACTGTATTTAGAAAAAATATATATACAAATTTCTAAAATTGGAGAGTATGCAAGTAAACTTAATCATTTCCCAATGGTTGTCAAATCATAAATCCTATGTTTCCTGCATTTGATTACATCAGCTACATTGTTTACTTTATTTAGTTTGAGATTTTAAAGTAAACAATTTAATGTTAGTCTGTGAAATGTTTAACAGCTCAAATATTAAAAACTGAAAAATACATTATGAAATATATTGCATAATTTATTATTAAGCCAGGTATGAAGCTTTTAAAAACAGAACTATTTCTTCAAGAGTGCATATGTCCATAACCAGTGATTTGTAGGACAGTGCAGAGATCTGGATTTGAATGGTAAAATGAAGTTTGAGCATACATGGATTGTGCATATAGTAGTACCTGTCCAGAACACCAAGCCTTCCACAGTTGACCTACAAGCGAAAAAGAAAACTTGGTTTAAGCCTTTAAGGTGTTCCTAATACAGCTATAAATGCCCTTATCCATATTGCCTTTCAATTCCAGTTAATTGCAAAACTGTCAATTCATATACATATGCCAAGCTTAATAATAATATTATAATACTGTATTGGAAATAGTAATAACAATTATTTTGCTGAATGCCTTCACATATTCATTAACATACTCTTGCTGGCTTAATGTAGGTTTAGTAATAGAGCTTTATATACTCCTTGCAACTTACTTTCAATGTCTAATGATATGCAGCTTATTACTGGTAATATATAAATATTATAAATAAATAAATCCTATTTGTTGCTTCGATAGGGCATCAGGGTCCAAGATATCCATTAATGTATTTTTCATCTGACAGGTTATCAATCATATCAGAGAAATATGGTAGCAAATTGCTGATTTTCAGCATATTAAATCTTTTGAAAAAACAACCCAAGACTTAAAATAGATGCACTGAGTCTTTGAAAGGCATAAAATAGCTATTTTGAGTAAAGTAAGCTGCAAAAAGCAGAATAAAATGGCTTTGTCTCTTCTATCATATCACATCCCTGCTTATACCTTCTGGGGCATTCAGAAGCCATAAAAAGGTTTTTTAGCCTGCATTTGGAATTGGACATCAGCCTACATAATAAGTAAAGACTGTGGTAAACTAGAAAAAATCATTCCTTTAGATTCTTATGTTTCCTAATATTGTTATGTCTTCTTTCAGGATTTCAACAATGAACATGCTTTAAAATTCTGCTCTGAACAGACATTCACTCTATTATCAAAAAAAACAAAAACAAAAACAGACTGCATGCATATAAAGAGCAAATTAATAGAAATAGATCTAAAATGACCTATTGTTTATTATGAATATTTATGGAACTGGTAATGGAAACAAAAGTGAAAAGAATTTTGAATGTGTGACATTGAATGAGTGATGATGCAGTATCACGAATGAATGTGGAAAAAATGGATCTGAAAGAAGAGGAAACAAAAGAAAAATGAGAATGAAAATGGAATGACTAGAAAATGAATTTCAAATCCTATGTGAAAAAATATCAGATGGTATATTAGTTTCCCAAAACAACAAACGGGTAGCAGATATGTAGAAAGAGGATGGTGCTAGATCAAAGTTAAAAAAATATTGCTGAGTGCCACAGAAGTATGGGAATTTACACTAATGGAAAATATGGAAAAAAATTCTGGGAGGAATAATGAAGTGAAAAGTTCTGGAAGAAATACTCCTTCCATCATCACCTCTATTAAATGTCATCCATCTCTTTTATCAGTATAATATTTAATCCCATTTGTGCCACAGGAGACTCCTTGATTCTCTTTCTTCTGCGTCTCTGATGTTGTTGTGTTTAATTTCTATTAAAATAGTCCTTCAATTTATACGTCTCTTTAATCCAAACTGTTCCTTAGTCTGTTTTAACTGCATTTGTTGTCAATTATCATTTTAATTTTATATTCATAATATTTTAAAGAATTCTTATTTATGTAATAATTCTTCCAATTCTATTTTTATTATCCAGAATTTTTTCACTCTTTTACCCTTCCTTCCCTCCCCCCTCTCTTTTCTCTCTGTCATCATTCTGATACAATAAAACTAAAACAAGAAATTTTTAAAATCATTATCATTAACACATATTTAAAAATATTTAGTTAAAACAGTTAAAACAAGAATATTAGATGGAAGCATGCTAATAGTAAAGGAGCCAACTTATCCTCTAGTGTTCCTGGGCCTGCTGCCATAACCACATCTTGAGGGACCTTCAGAAGCATAGAAGCAATGAAGGTATCCTTGCTTCAGAAGGGAGAAGATTCCTAAGCCCAAGGGCCACAGCAAAAAAGACCAATTGTAGCCCCCTAGATAATGCAATCTGTAATAAGATTCCCAGATGTGACTTAGCTAGTGCAGTCAAAAATGAAATTGAATATATTGAATATTATACACTTGTGTGTGTCTATGTATGCATATGTGTATGTTATTTTTTTCTTTGGTTATTACACTATACCTAGTTAGATATGTATATGCTTAATAAATCATTGTTCATTATATTTCAAAATTTAAACTATATGACACTTAAAATATATTTATTGTTTCAGGTTGTCCAGAAAGTGGATATTGCTTTTACTGCTTTCATTTTGGTGAGTTTTTTATATTCTTTTCAATTATAATGACTTTAATGATCACATTGAATCAATTTATTCCTGTTTCCCAAATTGAAAGAAACCGATTCCATTTAACTTTTGTTCTTAAAAATTCTCAGGTTTAAAAGATTAAGATAGAAATAGGATTTATATTTTGTATTCCATTAATATATGAACAATGGCAAAGAATAATTGGTTTGTATATTATGTTTTAAAAGATTTTGCTGGTGATTTAGAAAATGTTAAACTGCTGAATCCTTGGCATACAAATACTTGAAGAGTTTGAATTCATTTAAGGACTTTCAAAAATCAAGGATTAGCGGGGAAAAAATTTAGGGGACTTTTTTGGGAACTTGAACTTGCTGCGTTTAAAAAAAAATCATCTGCTTTTTGTCCAAAGTGTTACATGTGAAATGAAACCAGCGAATAATAAATTTGTTATTTTCTCTTCTTGCCTTTCAATTTAGTGGCATGTTCTGTAACATGAGATGTGAATTTGAAAGAGAAGGAAGAAATTGTTGGCACTGAGGTTGTTAAATTAAGAATACCTATTCCACCTGCCATGTGTGTCAGAACCACCTGTCTGGGTGTTCCTTTGCAAAATATGAAGTACTATTTAACTCAAGGAAAATGTTTCTTTCTCAAAGTTTCTGACGCTCTTTGAAATCACTTGATAAGTTTGAAATGTTTTTTAAAATTTCATTTGGAACAGCTCAGCATTATTATTTTTGAACCATTCATTGCGCTGTATAATTTATTTTATAGAGAGGAAAATAATGTTCCTAAAATTTATTTTTGGAAAAAAAAATCAGGATGCAATATTAATACTAATGTTTTAAGTTTTGTCCTTCCTTTTTTGCCTATACTAATTTTGGAAAGCAGTTGTCAAAAAAAAAAAAGTTTAATTCTCTTGCTTTACTAAGAAATGCATTGCATTATAAGAGAGCTTACCTGATATACAAGTTGTACATTATTAACAATAAGAAATGATAGCACATTTTATTTATTTGTTTGATTATATTTATGTTTTCAGATGGAAAAAATGCATACGTATTCCTACTGCCACTTGAAATGAGAATACTATTATGTATTAATTTTGCAGGATCCAATCTGGGTCAGTCACCGGGACTGGAAGTTTAATCTTCCTAGGTTTCTGACTCATGCCCATCCTCAGGCAACTTCTTTTTACCTGAATATGTGCTTTGGGATATTCTATGCATAGTATTTATGTGGTGCCTGATTGGGTGTGACTTCTTATTGTTAGATTGGGGTGTTTGATGGCCAGCTGTTAAGTCATTGACTGTTGTTTTTCTCTGCTGCTGCTGTTGAATACGTATTCCTGTTTTCAAAGAGCTCATTTCCCAGGCTTCAATCATTAATTAATTAATTAATTAATTAATTAGTTTGTTTGTTTGTTTGTTCATTCATTCAATATAAAATCCAGTTTCCATTTGTAGAATGTGCAAGGAACCTATTGTTTTTATTTACAAAAATATTTTTATGATTTTCCTGTGATTCCGCTGTAGTTTTCCGGACCACCAGCCATTTGGTATCATATTAACTGGATATTATATGGCATGCAAGTCTTTTGTGTATGTAGACTGCAAGCAATATATACACACATGCATTTATGTGTCTGTCAAGTCAATCAATGTGATGCTGGTTGGCGTACAAAAGGGGGGAAAAGTAAAACCCTATGTAATTAATATGAAGTAACATATCACACAGAAATGTGTATTTTCCTCCTACAGCTAAATATAATGCAATGCTTAGTTTATGTGTTGACAGGTTCACCTATTTTGATTCCAAAACAAACCTTTAAAAGAATGAATGTTTATTCAACTATGTTCTGTATGCAAAAAAGTGGCATATTATCCAGATTGCAGCTGCTTGTAAATATTGATGAAATCAATAAGCAAGGATGTTTTCAGATACACAGTTGAAATATTTATCATAATATCTACCTATCATCAAATGAAATCAGTGGATAAAAGAAGAAAATGCAAGAAACTTTCAAATAAAAACATCTACAGAATTTCCACAAATGATACACCCTAAAATACCTCCAAATTGATTATTTTGCAATGTGGATGGCAAGGTACACATTAATTTTCTTTTAACCTTTTCCACTTTTGAGACAGTGATTTAAGACTTTCAGACCATTCCATCCCCCTTCAGGAAGGATTTTAAATTGCTGTCCTCTGTCACAGGGCAATATACGTAATGCAAATACAATGTATATAGTATGCAACTCAAATACAGTGTATATCCCTCAGCAGAAAACAGAGTTGCAGTGAAAGTAGCATATCCCCTAAGAAAATCCTTTCAACCTCTTACAAGATCAATACATTTATTTACCCTAATGTCTGGTAAGAACCACAGGGGGAACTTGGAGTCAATCTGATTGAAATGAAACAAAGAGCTGAAATCAAAGCCACAGCTTTCACAGTAGAAAGCTACTCCTGCAATTATAGAACCTTCCAATTTCAATTTCTATCTCAGATTCATTCAATGAACACTACTTCTCTAAGAACACAAGGCCCCCTATGGTTCCTCTTCTCGGAATCCCAACCAATGATAATCCAATGAATATATAAATATAAGTTAACTCTTGTTACCTTTTCTAAATCCATGGTTTTTTTAATCTTTTGAGATGGAGGGAAGTATAACAAGTATCAATATGTTCTTAAATATTATTCAACACCTCTATGGGGATAAACCATGAAACATAATAGCAATTCACATCCTGTCCCTTTCTTACTTTTATTATATTGTGATGTGTAAATTTGTAAGAAATTGAGATTATAACCCAGTTACATTCATTTAAAAAATCTTGTTAAAGAACATTCTGCCTTGGAAAAATTACTTTTTACACTTTTTTTATGGAGACATCTCCCTATGGGAAACTATTTTTATAATCAATCATCAAGCCCAAAGCATTTGTTAGTTGGTTGCATGAACAGCGACCATGAAGCTCTGGATGTACATAACATTTTTCTTTACAATTGTCTCCTGTCAATACTAGGTTTTCTTTTTATTACTTGCTTCTGTTTCTTTTTTTTATTCTTGCATTCGTACTGCCTTTCCCTTGCCTCATATTCTGCCAGAATATTAACAAAAACTCTGATCAAGTGGGAAAAGAAATAACATCAGAAGTCTGTGGAACCTAAGACAAAACAAAAGTCCATAAATCACAATAAACATTTATTTTTAATCCTTTGTATAATGCTCCTCAGTGAATTCCAAAAGAGGATTTGCATGTATCTATTGAATACATATTTTTAAATGACAGACTTATTGTAGGCCTTCAAACTTAAGGAAAAATATTGAATAAATTATATGAATATACTATATGGTGGTCCACTGAGAATCAACTGTGAAAGATAAATGTATGAGGAACATTATTATTCAGTCATGTCTCCTTAAATTGAATATCAAAGTATCCATGAAGAAAATCTAAAATATACTCAATCTTAGTCCTACAAATAGCTGAGAATTTTGGAGTTTAGTTCACATGTACAGTTTGAGGAAGGCTGATCTAAGTGTGATGGATGAAAGTAGAAAGCAAACTCATCTCACAAGAGATTTTCATGAAATGATATTGTGATTTGTTCAGTATACAGTATGAGCATCCAGCATCAAACCAACAACAATCTTTAGATTTGTCTTTTTTCAACCACTGATATATGTGAGGCTTCTGTAATATCTAGGATGGGGATCCACAACCCCCAAGGAGTGGCCCACTACCAGGCTGTGGCTGGTTTGCAAGTTGGACACATACCAGCCCACTGCTTCAGTAAAAAAAATTTACTACCAGTTCTGTGGGTATGGCTTGGTGGACGTGACATGGATTGGTGGGCATGGCTTGGTGGGTGTGGCAGGGAAAGATTACTGCAAAATCCCAATTCCCTCCTGATCAGCTGGGACTTGGGAGGCAGAGAATAGATGAGGGCAGGGCCAGTCAGAGGTGGTATTTACTGGTTCTCTGAACTGCTCAAAATTTCTGCTACCAGTTCTCCAGAACTGGTCAGAACCTGCTGAATACCATCTCTGCACTGCTTGCTCAAGCCAGTTCCCCTCTCCCACCCTCCTGCCAGGCCACCAAGTCATAAATGTTGGGGATCTCTGATCTAGGGACATCATCATCATCCTTTTTTTAGCATTATTCCCACAAGTGTAGGACTCGTTTTTTGAATCTAGCAACACCATTTTCCACAATCAAATTCAGCATCTGGGACCAACTGGACAATTTTCTATTTGTGTGTCAGTCAGGCAAAGCTGGCATATGTTACTTCCAGGGAAAGCCCTAATATTGTTTGACAGATATGGCTGTGATCCATTTGTTGTGACAAAAAAGAGGACTACCTGGCTTGTCTCTGATATTGTTTTGGCCTGTGATCAGCTAAGCACCGCCTTGGCAGGACGACAATATTCCAGTGGCACCACTAGGAGGAGCAGACCTCACCACCTCTCTAATATCTAGAATGCTCTGCTAATATCACCTGTGTGTGTGTGTGTGTGTGTGTGTGTGTGTGTGTGTAATGTCTTACCACTATAGCAGATGTTAATTCCCTGGCAAACACTGATGAAAGTTTCTGCCACAAAAAACATTTGCACTGCATCTCATATTGCTTGTCCACCTGCCCTGTATTACCTATAAAGGTTCCCTGTCCTGCTAACACAGGACAGTGAATATATATTTGAGACTCTTTCTGCAGCAGATAATCAGGCCTATGTTACATCAACATGACAAATAAAATTGAAATGAAGTACTGGAAAAAATAGCAGAGAAAATATGTAACCTTAGCAACAGAGCATAAAGCATCTCAAACCAATAAAAAGCTGACCCTATTTGTGTGTGTGTGTGTGTTTGTGTACATTTTATAACTGCTCTTAGAAGTCTTTCCCAGATGTTAATATTGTCTTAAGGCATATACTGTAGGAAGCTCATCTAAACCTATTATCCTTCATTAGAACATAAATAGTTAGACTTGCATACAGCTTAG